CTAAGTGCTGCTTCTTGTCGCGACTATAAACTAGGATGTTGTCAAGGTAAACTATCACGCATTTGTATAAAATTGTGGGGGAGTGATTGCCCCCGACGCGAAGACCTCCCTTGACTCGGACCAAGGGAGGGTTTGTTCACGGAAGTTTGGGTGACGGCAGACTGACCGCGTCGCCACTCAACTGAACTCCCCCCCTGTCGGGAAACACTTGGCAGCCCCACAAAGCACGCACAAAAATAGCGAGAGTGCAAGCGAATGTTAAAAACATTTTGCTACACTCGATATTGTTTCATGTAACACACGTTTGTTTGGCGTGTTGAAAAGAACCCGGCAAAGTCCGAAATTGTGAACGCGGACGTCGCGGAAAATGGACGCGATCCAAAGTCCGAATTTGCCGCGGAATCGCGCGCGGTTCGATGTTACATTTCTGCATGTGTGTTCTAGCTAAAAAACTAGAGAGAAAAAACAGAGAGTTCATCTTCAGCTCGAACTTGTACCTATCCTTGCATTATAAGCAATATCTCTCTCTATTCTCAGGCAATTACAGAAATTCAAAGTGCCATAGATTCCGTGCTCTGAGCCCGTCAGTTTTATTTTAGGCTCCGCGTTGAACTCGCCAAGTAGACTCTGCGGCGTCACTTAAACCAGAGGCAATTTCTTTCAGCGAGTGCGTTTGTCAGTCTGAATTGCATCACTGTGTACTCATACGACCCATACCTAGTTGTAAAAGTTGTCTTGGCGCAGTCCGATGGTTCGACTCTAATCTGGTGGTAACTTCCCCGTAAGTCATATTCGGGAATACCTGGGCTGTTTGTGGTATATTAGTTCGTCGGCGCGGGGAATGGGATGTTAGCATGTTTAGTGCGTGATAGTCGATACGTATATGAAAACCTCCGTCTTTTTTTTTGTGTGAACAGTATCGGTGCTGCGAACGGTGATGAGCTCACTTATGTGGACTTTTTCTCCAGTAGGCAGTCTAGCTATTATTTCAGTTCGTCGAGTTGTCAATCTGAACTCTCGTTGCACGGTTGGTCGTGCCCCTGATTCTAGCTCTATGCGGTGGTCGTGTGCTCGCTAAAGTGGCAGTCCCTCCGGTAAGTCGTCAGGAAAATCCCGAAGTACCATTTCAGTAGTTCCTGTAGTTAGGGCGGTACGGCTGCTAACAGTTTCTGAAAATCGCTAGGTTTCTCTATCCCCCCCTTCACTACGTACACGTTAGCCCCAACAGCGACAACCCGTTTCATGGTGATGGCGTTGATGTGGGCCGTTGAAAATTCAGGCGACTGTCAGCGAGGTAGTGCGACCTAGTTACCATCGCTTCGCACACTGCAGCTACTGTCGTCCTGTCAATTCGCAGACAATCATGTCCAAGTAGAATGTTGTGCCCATCTAGTGTCGTCGCGAGCATTTCCTGTGTAAACCAAAAATTTCCCCCGTTGGAAATCTTTTGTATAGCCAGCAGCGTGCCGTCAACTAAGCGTGCGTCGATCTCCGGTAAGCAGCGGCTAAGTGTCAGTTGCAGTTTTCGTGCTGTTGCGATTTAACTAAGCTGTGGCTTGCTCCTCTGCCGATAAAAATCTTCACTGTTATCCCCTGTATTTTCCTGTGAATCAGTATTGGGCACTCTATCGCTGTACCCTCCATATTCAGCCGAGCCTGATCGATTGCGTGAATCGGTACTGTGACTGGGTGAGGATTAGTGAGGTCTACTACGCACTGCCTCGCACTACTATGCACCGCCGCAGCAGCAGCGCACGCGCCCTGACGCCGCGGCAGCAGCGCGTGCACCTCAACGCCGTAGTAGCATGCGTGCCCCAATGCTGTAGCAGTGCGCACGCTCCATTGCCACAGCAGCAACGCACAGCCAAATGCCGCCGCAGCAGCAACGTGCCCGCCTCAACGTCGCAGCAGCAGCGCATTCGCCCCAACGTTGCAGCAGCAGTGCGCGCCTCCCACTGCCGCAACAATAGCACCTCAATGCCGCATCAGAGCGCGCACCCCAACGCCGGTGTAGCAGCAGTAGTGCGCGCCTCGATACCGCAGCTACCGCAGTGTACGCTCCAACGCACAGCAGCGCGCCCAATGACGTCGCAGCAGCAGCGCGCCCATTAACGTCGCAGTAGCAGCGCGCACGCCCCAATGCATCCGCAGCAGAGCACGCATCGACGACGCTGCCACTGTAGCGCGCACCCCAATCTCGCGGCAGCAGCGCGCTTAAAGTCGCTGCAGAAGCGCGCACGCTACTAATGCAGTAGTAGCAGAGCGCGCCCCTATTGCAGAAGGAGCAGCGCATGCCCCATTGCAGCAACAGCAACGCGCCCCAGTGAAGTAGCAACAGCAACGCACCCCAGTGCAGCAGCAACAGCGCGCGCCTTGATGCCGCCACTGCTGCAGGGTGTACGCCCCAACGTTGCAGCAGATGCGCACGTCGCGATGCCGCAGCAGCAGCGCGTGTGCCCCAACGCCGCCGTAACAGCAACACTCTCCCTACCGCTGCTACAGCAGCGCGCATGCCCCCACGCAGTAGCAGCAGTGCGTTCCCCTAGCATGCCCCTAGCGGTGCAGCAGCGACAGCAGCGACAGCAGCGCGCGCGTCCCAACGCAGCAACAGCAATCTTGGAACATTTGTACTCTGCGATACGCTTTCAAATTGTTACTTATCTGGTTTTATTTGTCGGCACTTATGCAACGATGCTTGTTCGTGTGTGTATTTGGGCAGTGTTGTCGGGGATATGGATTCAGGTCAGCAGCAGCCAGAGTTGACACACGAGGTGGAGATTGTTTGCGTCGAAGCAATGGATGAGTATGTGAAAGGATTGATCTCAGTGGAAGTGGAGGATGCAGTGAAGCTGGTACGTTTTCAAGTTATTGCAGACCCTGGTGTGCTACCAAAAGCTGGGATGTAAGTATGTCTCGTAATGTGGATCTGAAAAGAGGGGGGAACGTGCAATGTCATCCTAGTTCAGTTGATCAATGTAGAAGATGTTGTGTGTGTGGTTTTGCAACCTCACATTCAATATGGCCCTCAGTCTTCCGTGTCCTTCATTTTGCCCTTCTTTTTTATTTCGTGCAAGAATTGGGACAACTGCGTCAACTTTTCCACAAAAGTTGCAAGAAGAGCATTCAACAAAGGAATGGACCAGACTCGCGCTCGAGTATTCCACGACGAGGATAAGTCCTCCTCCTTGTTTTGGATCGTCTTACACTTGTAGTTGTACAAGCTTCACAAAGTTAACCACACCATACCTGACGACACAAAATTCACTCAGCCATACCTGCTCGTAGTACGGCCCATAAACATATGCTGCAACAAAAATGTTCCGAACGACTAAAATGCGAGCATGCTTGAATCAGTTCCCCAGTTCTTTCCCCTCTTCCCCCTTCCCCTTCTACCTTTCTCATGTTGTGCTTCAACACAATCCATACCAGACTGTATGCCCTATAAGTAGATGTTGCAGCTATACTATTCTCGGCAATTCTACGAGCGTGCTTGTATCGGTTCCCCAACCTGTTCCTTATGTCCTCCTTCCCCCTCCCCTCTCCCCATCACATGCCACATGTCACATGTCACGTGCCACTGAGTCACGTGCCCATATGCCACATGCCACGTGCTACATGTCACGTGCCACATGCCACGTCCCAATTGCCACATGTCACGATCCACCAGCCACGTGCCGCAATCCAAACACGAGCGTGCTTGTATGACTCCTCAACTCCCCGGTCCCCCTCCTTGCCCCCACACACCCCCTCTTCCTGTAACATAATTGAACCCGTACCTAACGATACGTCTTATCAGCAAATGTTGTTTTAGCTATCCGCGAGCATGCTTGTACCTGTCTCCAAACCTTCCCCCTCGTCCCTCTCCCCTCTCCGTTCCCCTCTCTCCCCATGCCATGCTTCAACCCGGTCCCCACCTAATAGTATGCCCCATAAGCAATCAATGCAACTGGCAATGTTTCTGGTGACCCTTATGCAAGTGTGCTTGTACTTTCTCTCCACACCCTTAACCCATACTGCCTTACACCTTTCACCTCCTCCCCTTTCCTTTGCTCCCTCGTTGTGTCCCAGCTCTGTCCCTACATGACCATACGTTTCAAAAGCAGATGCTGCAACTGCCATGATTCCATGTGATAAAAGGTGAGAATGCTTGCATCAACGATTGGAGGGGCGGGGCCAAGCAAGAGGGCGGCATAATTCCTAAGATAGGGCAGGTTGATTGTGTGACTCATCTCTTCCACTAAATAATATGTTGTATTACCTCCCTCCAACTTGTATTACGTCGTGGTTAAGGTTTACTAGCACCTCTGATAAGAAGGCGATACTTAGCTATTTGAGAGCACTTCCGCGCGAGGTGCCGAGCTACGATGCAGAATGCAAGGTGGACGACTCGGAGCACGTATGCATTGAAATTCATCACAATGGGCCGCGCGAGGTGCCGAGATTCGGTGCAGAATGCACGGTGGACGACAAAAGGATATTGCCGGAGGACATACGCATTGAAATTCATCACAATGGGCTGAGTTCAATTGTTAATTTTAGTAAGAGCTAACTCAGCTTGAGTGTTAAACAGTTGGTTCATATGGGTAAACCAATTAAGGCAGCAATTCAACCACACATGCAGCACAACAATGTGCATTGTGTGTGTCAGTGATCACCTATGTTAATCAATCAAGTCATGTCTCCGCAACTATTCAATTAAGTCTGACCCAGGTTCCGCGAGGTTACAAAGAAGCCGCCGAAAAAAAAAAAAAAAAAATTTATAACAAAAACAAAAACAAGCAAACAAACAAACTAACCAAAAAAAAAAAAAAAAAAAAAAAAAACAGTAACAACAAACACCTCTTCAATTTGATTCGGGTCGGGGAAAAAAACTCAACAAGACAGACAAGCTAATCCGACTCGAATCAAAGGTGGGAGAAATTGGCATGTTTGACTCGAAGTGAGCCAAAACTGGTCCGGTGCTGCAGCCAGGAAAGGGAGGAGGAGGTGAGTTGCAACGGCTACGAAGGTGGGTCTTCCTTAAGGACAAGATCTCTACTTCGGGAGTGGGAGGTTGAGAATGTGTACAAGTGTAGGGTGTAGCAAGGGATGGGGGAGCGATGTGAGTTTCAAACACACCATCACGTTTGGTTTATTGTTTTTTTGTCTACTGTTTTCCAACCCACAATGGCCTGGATTTGGTTTGACTGCTTGGCCGATTTGATATATGTTGCATGTCTGAGCTGTCATTGCATCATTGATGTATGCGAAAACAAGTTGCATTTCATCTTACGATTATATATTTTTTTCCGTACAAATACATTTTGTCTACAGTTCAACCTTGGAACGTTGTTTTGAGGAGTGGAAGGAAATTGAGAGTGTTGTCTTACAGACGGTGGTTTCGTAATTGAAATGGATGCATCAGATGACCGAACTAGCTTCACTTTCAAAAGCAGCGATGCAGAACGCATATGTCATGGCATCTTCATCTACAATCTCATCTTCGTTTTGCTTCTCGCTTTGGGCCGCGGCCCCTCCGCCCGGCGTCGTCGTGACCCTTCTCCCCTCCCTCTGAGTTGCGACGCGGCTGCGGCCCCTCCGCCCGGCGCCCGATGCCGCCACGGCCCTCCGCCCGCCACGGCCGCGGCCCCTCCGCCCGCTGCCCGGCGCCGCCGCGGCCCCTCCGCCCACCGCCCCTCCGCCCGGCGCCGCCGCGACCCCTCCGCCCACCACCCCTCCACCTGGAACCGCCGCGGCCCCTCCGCCCACCGCCCGCCGCCGCCTCGGCTCCTCCGCCCAACGCCCCTCTGCCCGGCGCCGCCGCAGCCCCTCCGCCCGAAGTCCGGCGCCTCAATGGCTCCTCCGCCCGCCGCCCGGCGCCACCGCGGCCGCTCCTCCCGCCGCCGCCGCGGCCCCTCCGCCGCTCTCTTGCTACCGTTCTTGCTGATGTCGTTGGTGCTACTGGTCCTCAAGATCAGGTGAAAGCCCTCTTCTTTAATGATCTTCATGCCCCGCATGTTTGATTCGTTAGGTCTCTTGCTGTCAAAGTGCTTCCCGCATTGCATTTCTTCTTGATTGACATACTACATGGCACAATGTGTTGTTTCTTAATGTATTTTGTTTTCTACGTTTACATATGGAGGGACATAATGAGGTGCTTAAGCAAAATGACTTGTCACACAAAAAACTTGTGACCTACGTGGAAGAGTTGCATCCATGTTTTCATACTGCATCGTTTCTCCTTGCAATAATTTCTCTCGGACTCCTTGTTGGGCTCGTTGCTGTTGCTAAAAAACGTGAAGCGGAAGAAGATTTGGCAAGGGGAAGAAGGGGACAAAAATAGGGAGGAGGAAGAGATGTGGAAAAGAGATGGAGGTGGAGCAATAAGAGCAGCCGCAGCAACTGCACCAGCCACAGCAGCAGCAGCACCGGCCACAGCAGCAGCAGCACCGGCCACAGCAGCAGCAGCACCGGCCACAGCAGCAGCAGCACCGGCCACAGCAGCAGTAGCAGCGACCCTGGCTGCCACAGCAGCCACTACTACCACAGCACCCACTGCAATCCTAGCAGTCTTAACATACACAGCAGCACATACAACAACTTTAGCCTTAGCAGCAACAGCAGCCACATCTATTGCTCCTCCCACAGATGTCGTTGTTGCTCCTCCCATTGATGGCGTTGTTGCTCCTCCTTCTGGTGTCGATGTTGCTCCTCCTCTATTTCTTCGTTAGATCCCGTTGTTGCTGCTCCCGTTGCTTCTCCTGTTGCTGCTCCCGCTGATGCCGCTGTTGTGACTCTTGTTGCTTCTCCTATTGATGTTCCCACTGATGCCGCTGTTGGTGCTCATGTTGCTTCTCCTGTTTCTGCTCGCACTGATGGCGATGTTGTTGCTCGTGTTTCTACTTGTATAAAATGGATCAGTGAACTTGATTGCATAATGGTCGGACGCAAATGCATTGTCAGAGGCAAATGCGTTGGCTGGTCAAGGGTTACCGACAGCATTCCAAGCAAACAACGTTCCGCTGGCTTGCTGCTAAAAAAACAAAAACAATAAACCACCAACTTCAGTATTAACAGTAGTGTTGAAAACACTAAATTACATGCCACATAAAAATACACGGGTAGTTTTTTCTCCTTTGTTAAGACCCCCCCCCCCCCCCCCCCCCCCCCACCCACCCCTTTTTACAAGGGAATTTACACAAGACCCTAGGGTCTTATATCCGAGGGATTACAAATATGCAGATACCGGGGCCCAAAGAGAGGAGGGACAGGCAGCAAGAGGACGGCTAGGAAGGAGGGCGGACAAGGGCAGCTAGGAAGAACGATGGTCGGCTCTGAGGGAGCTTCTGATTATGCTGATGGCAAGAGCGGCAGAGTAGAGGCAGCAGGTGAAAAGGGGAAACTGACATATTTGTTGGAGAGGCTAGTGATAGGTCGGTAAGAGTAGTGGAGTAGGAGAAGCATGATGCACTCCATGCCAGGACAGGCTTCATCGGTGTGCTCTTTCCTCTTTGGGTGACGTCACTCCCGTCCCTTTTATGTGGAACCCCAGAAGAGCATTAGGTGCCGTAGCTGTGTTTATCTGGTTCTATTATTGCAGTTTATCTGACCAAATGTGTGTTTTGTTTCTTGCCGTGGAAAGCATACACAATGGACTGTCACTGTGTCACTTCCTGTTTCCTGCACACTTCTCGTCTCTTCTTGCTTTTGGGCGTCTTCCAACTTGAAAATTCTCCACACTAATCGATAGGCTCCTCACATTGGGCCATCCTTGTTAGGACAATAGCAAGGCATGACTTCCACTAGCAAAGGAAATCAAACAAACAAATCGTCAAACTCAACAGGCCTAGGGTCCTATGTACAGAAAACAACTTCCACATAGAGCATGCAAATTCTGCAGCGCTGTGCTTTACTTCTGCTGACCTGCACACACTGAGCACACACCCATTCCATCCGACATGCATGCACTCTATCATTCGGTTCCCCCAGCCCACCTATGTACACGACATGATCTCAACCGACTGTGCACCCTCTACCCTCATCTGTCCCTTCTTCTCTTACATGGTGAATGGCAATTCCTCGGCTCCTTTACGGCTTCTGCATGCTTTTGCAAGGTTCACGCCCAATCCTCACATTATTTGAGCTGCTTCAAAAAAAAATTCGAGCCATCAACTCCCGGACCTCTCTACCATGCTTGACACTTCTTCGATACTATGCATGTCCGCTACGTTGCCACCTCTCTTGACATCCCTATTACATTTATCGTTGAATCCTCATCTATGATTGGTGGCAACCTTCGGACTACACCCTGTACACATCCCCATTTTTGCGCTAGATTCTGTTATAGACTAAGGACGGAGTCTATGAAGATTAGGGGCTGAAATATCTCAAAATCGTTGGACTATATTTCTGGACAGAGACGTCGACTTGACAAGAAACATCGTCGAGGTATAACGCACCGTTGAAACTTCACCAATTTCGGATACATTGTAGCGCTAGACCGTAGCTACAATTCCCAAGTTGAATCGTATCAAGAGGTGAAGTAAATCTCGCGCTATCAATTTCGGCGCACTGGGGGTATGCTATCACAGAAACTTAACTCAATCACAAAGGTTCACCCAAGTTCCACACAAGAGAATTAGAGTAGCAATGAAGCAGGTAGCAGAGAAGAAGAGGACGAGAGAGAAGGAGTCCCCAACCAAGGAAACCCCATAGTTACACTAAATCTCTTCTCTATAGGAACCCAACGTTGACCCTTGTCATTTTCCCAACCTCCCAAATCCACCTCACCCAACTTAGCCACACTTGCCAACATGGTTTGGCTTCTCCCAACCACTTGGCATCATCTACAGTGATGGTGACAAATTTCCCAACCCCCAATGGTCTATACCCCCTATGGAGTCACCCCACAAATTCCCAAAGTTGCCGCAACAAAATATCACAAACATACGAACTTCAACCGTTCGTAACTTTCTCGTTCGTGCTCCGATTGAAGCGATCCTTGATTCGTCGGAAAGCTCTTGAGCAGAGGAGTCAAACATAATAACTTTTATACACACTGAAAAGATCCAAAATACACCAAACACAAATTCTTGCACACTTCCACACCATGCATGCAACGCACAAACGTATGATGGGAGGCAGACAGACGTGAATGCAAATGATAGCATCACATAACAGATTCTAGTTCTAGTGGTGCTGCTGGTGGTACTGCTCGTGCCGCTATGGTGCTACTGTCAGATTATGTTGTTTGTGTAGCCTGCAGTGGGGTACTCTATAATGAGTACAGCCCCTTAGGGTTTGCTATTTGTATCCTGCTGCTTGCTTGTTCAATCATTCCCTTCTCAATTCTGTTCCTACACACATTCCTAGCTCGTACTTGGCTCCTCGTTACTAATACTACTGTGGCCTAGGCTACTAAGCCTATGCCGTACTCCTACTACTTCTGACATGGTATCAGAGGGCGGCATGTCTGCCGCCTTCCTGTGTATGGGCCCACCACCCGCTTCCGCTGCCGTACTGTCTGCCGCGCGCCCCGTGGTGCGCGGCGGCGAAACCCTTATTTCTGCCCGCCGCGCGCTCGGGGCGCCTGGCGGTTTTCCCTTCCGTGGCGCCCGTCGTGGTGCCCTTGGGGGGGCCTCCGCGGTCCCCTCCCGTCGAAGCGCCCGTCGAGGCGCTCTCGGGGACCCGCGCGGCCTCCCCTCCCGTCGCCCGTCGAGGCGACCTCGGGGACCCGCGCGGCCTCCCCTCCCGTCGCCCGTCGAGGCGACCTTGGGGGCCCGCGTGGCCTCCCCACCAGTCGCCCGTCGTGGCGACCACGGGGGCCGCGCGCGGTCCCCTCCCGTCGCCCGTCGAGGCGACTTCGGGGGCCGTGCGCGGCCCTCCCCGTCGCCCGTCGAGGCGACTTCGGGGGGCCCGCGCGGCGCCCTCCCCGTCGCCCGTCGAGGCGACTTCGGGGGGCCCGCGCGGCACCCTCCCCGTCGCCCGTCGAGGCGGCTCTGGGGGCTCGTCGCGGCGCCCTCCCTGGTGCCCGTCGCGGCGCCCCGGGGGGGGGGGCGCGCGGCTCCCTTTTCGTCGCCCCTCGGGGCGCCCTGGGGGCCGTGCGTTTTCCCCCCCCCCCCCTTCTGCCTTTCAACTGCGGCGGCCGCCCCTGGAGCCGCCCGCCACTGCAGCAGCAGCCCCTGGAGCCGCCCGCCACTGCAGCAGCAGCCCCTGGAGCCGCCCGCCACTGCAGCAGCCGCCCCTGGAGCAGCCCGCACCTGCAGCAGCCGCCCCTGGAGCAGCCCGCACCTGCAGCAGCCGCCCCTGGAGCAGCCCGCACCTGCAGCAGCCGCCCCTGGAGCCGCCCGCACCTGCAGCAGCCGCCCCAGGACCCGCGCGAGCCGCCTCTGCAGAAGCCCGCCCCGTCCCCCCCCCCCCCCCCCCCCATGCTGCCCATTGCTCCCATTCCACCGTGCGTTCCGCGGTGGCTGGGGTGTGGGGTGGCGAGCATGGGGGTGAGAGGTGTGGGTTCTCCCCTCCTCCTTTTTCGTCTCCCACTGCTGCAGCTGCCGCTGAAGGGGGTGGAGGTGTGGGAGTTGTGGGGAGTGGCACTAGGGGGGTGATTTGGGAGTGGAGCTAGGGGTGAAGCAGGGGGTGTGTGAGAGGGGTGTGGGACTGTTGGGGGAGGTTGAGTGGAGGCTGCTGTCTTGTCGTCCGCAGCACCTGTAGTCCGGGGCGCACTTGTTAAAGTTTAGAAGAAAGAAGAGGATTGCACTAGCAAGAATGGGGATACAAATAGCAAAACCCTAGAAGAGTTGTACTCGCTATAGAGCACCCCACTACAGGCTAGAGCATAATATTCTGACACACCCCCATAGCCAAAGTGGGGTGTAATCAGCAGAGCAAGCAAAAGAAAACAAGCTCAGGGTGGATCACAATGTCACCACACATTCTGAGCACAAGTACAAGAGGTAGCAGTTTTATAGTTAACAAATATAAGCAAAGCTAGAGGCTATCACAGAGGGCAAGTGAGGAG